CCAGACTTCTTTAGCGGGATGAATAAATCGTAGAAATCGGCCTAAAAGGGTATCAATTGGCCAAAGAAGGTAGCCGGCCAGAGAAGCTCTTGGCAGGCAAATGGTGCTTCTCTGGCCGGCTACCTTCTCTGGCCAATTGATACCCTTTTAGGCCGATTTCTACGATTTATTCATCCCGCAAAAGAAGTCTGGTGGAGACAAGCAAAAACCCTCGGTGGCAAAACGTCGCTCCCCGAATAAAATTAACGCCGCCGCTTCAGAAGTCTGCGAAGGAGGCTAGCCTGTATCGACGTGTGGACATTCAACCATTTACTTGCTAGTGCTTTTTCTTTCACATTTTCACCCATTTTAATGCATGTGTGCAATGCCTTTCCCACAGATCTCCAATGACCAGACGGGCCTGTGTCTGGACGTGATTAAGGTTGGGAAGGAGCCAGCCGGAGTGTTCGCATGTCACGGGAAGGGTGGTACACAGGTAATCTCCAAGCAGATCCTACAGTGGCAAGGCAATCTCCAATGGCCAAGCATTATCCATTAGCCAAGCAGTGGCCATTGGATAGCCTCTACCAGGCTTCAGAAAGAGTAGAAATTGGCCAGATAGACAGATAACATGCCAGGAGAGTTGGGGTACATTTGCAAAATTGTACTACTAGTACTTAGCGGACTAACTACCATTACATGTTATCTGTCTATCTGGACAATTTCTACACTTTCAGCTGCTTCTTAAGGCTATCAAGTAGGCACCAGTGGGTAATGGAGCTGCCTAAATATAATGCACACTGCCTTGCCACAGTAGAATTTGCTTGGAGATCAAACATCGTGCATATCAGTTTATTCAAAACATTAAAAGTAAAATAAAAACTAAATTTTCCATTCATTTCCACTAGTTCTGGGAACTCACGCATGCGCATGAGGTGCGTGACAAGAGAGGAGAATACTGTTTGCAGGCATCATGGGATAGATCTGACGTCATCACGGCCAAGTGCACGCGCACGCGAGGTGACGTGCAACCGTCCGAGGAGCAGAAATGGGTTGTCAAGGTAACGTGTAGACGAGCTGTAGCAGACACCCTGTGGTGTTCGGTTACATTATGTAGCAACTTGGAGGGGCTGGTCACCATATATATGAGTAAGAATAAACAGAGCAGTAGTTTGTTAGGCCAGACCATGTGAAGGAAGGAAGCATGTATTTGCTTTTTCGAGTACTTTTCTAGTCATACATTTATTTACTTGGTCGAGAAAAAGGAAAAAAAAGTCTCACAAAATGTACGCAAGACGCCTTTAAAGCTTATAAAGGGGAACATTTTTATTATACAGTTACCACAACATATTAAATATCTCAACGAAAAAAACAAGCTTTTGAGAATTACTAGTATTGTGCTTTCCATTTCCTCAAAGTTCCGTCTATTTCCAGGATTCCGGATTGCTTTACCACCCTCAGACGGACAGGTGTTTGGACGGAACCGAATCCGGATTGAGCATGACGGACTGCAGTACCAGTGGCAGCCAGAGGTGGCGCATAGAGAACTTTAACCCATAACATTCAGAAACTGGTGAAACCAAGGCATCAAGATAGTCGTATTTGCAATGCATATACATATGTAGTTGAACATTTGCTATTTTCACGTTATTCCCCTTTTTTAATTCAATCTTTTGAGAGAGGTTGATTTTGGTATAAACTTCGATCTGTTGTCACGAAACTATATTCTTATCCAAGTTTTACATATGTCATATGATTAATGTTAAAAGAAATAGAAATCCCACTACCTATTTACATAGCAGACCTCTATGATATATACACAATAAAGACACATATAATTGTGACAATGCTGTAGATTTACGTTAATCATGATGAAGATTATGAATGATAAAGATGTGGAAGATCATTACATACACAGTCACATGTTTTAAAAGCTACCGTGGATATCGTACAAACAGTTTCAGAGTCCATCCTTTTTGTCTCTTATCTCAGTCGACTTTGCATCTCCTCCGCCTGCAGCGACAACGCAGCTGCCTTGTCGTGATCACCCAGGTCCGTCCAGATTATACTCAGGTTCTTCAGAGTCCTTAGTTTGTCTGGATGGGCCGCGGTGTGTCCATAGACTTTGTTCATCATCACCAATGCCTCTTGCAGAACCTCTACTGCTCTCCTGCAGTCACCCAGGGAAGCCAAAGAAGCACCCAGGTTGGACAGAAGGAAGCAGATGGCCGGGTGTTCTCCACAGTTTCCTCTCAGGCGTTTTTCCATCTGTAAGGATTCTTCGAAAAACCTGATCGCCTTCCTGTGATCGCCAACAAGTCCCCACGATGTGCCGAGCTTCTGCAGTAGCGAAGCCGTCTGGTGGTGCGCCGAACCGCCGCCGAAAATAGCTCTGCTCATGTCCAACGCCTCTTCGTAGCAGAGGATCGCCTTCGCAGGATGGCCTAAGTGGTTCCACGTCGCTCCCAAGTTGCAGAGTGACCGAAGAATGTCTTGGTGCGCCGTCTTGGGTCCGTACACCCGTCTTTTGATCTCCAGTGCCTGTTCATACAGCTCCAATCCCTTCCTGAAGTCACCAAGATTGCACCAAGCAGCACCGAGGTTGTTGAGTGACGAAGCGATGTCTGGATGCGCTGCCTCTTGTCCGTACGCTTGTCTTCTGATTTCTAACGCCAGCTCATGGAAACCGACTGCTTTTCCCTGATGTCCCAACCTACTCCATGCTGTTCCTAGGTTGTTGTACAACGCCGCAATTTCGGGATGCTTCGCATCGTGGCCGTACACATCTTTCCTCATCTCCAAAGCCCTTTCGTAGAAGGTTATTGCCTTCCTGTAGTCACCTACGTCACTCAACACAACGCCCATACATTGAAGCGACGAGGCAATGTCTGGATGCGAAGTGCCCTCACCATTTCCATGTACACGTACTCTCATGTCCAGGGCATGCTCGTGGAACTTCATGGCTTTTCTGTGATCACCCACCTTACTCCATGCTTTACCCAAGTTGTACAGTGACTTAGCCGTATCTGGATGGGCGGTGTTATATCCATAGGTACACAGTCTCATGTGTAAGGCATGCTCGTGAATCAGGATAGCTCTTCCGTGATGACCCAACTCGCCCCAAGCTTCACCCAGGTTATTCAGTGATGCTGCAATTTCTGGGTAAGCGTTACCGTCTTTGTAGAGCCGCTTCTTCATAGCTATCGCCCTCTCAAAGAAGCCGATTGCTTTCCTGTAATCACCGAGGTTAACCCAAGCTATACCTATATTATTCAGCGATCCTGCAATATCTGGATGGGCCGTATTTCCGTATATACGTATCCGCATGTCAAGAGCATCCTTGTAGAAGGGAAGAGCTTTCCTAACATGGCCTAGGATGCTCCATGCGGTGCCTAAGTTATTGAGCGACTTGGCAATGTCTGTGTGGTCCCTATCGTGTCCATATAGACGTTTCCGCATATTCAGAGCTTGTGCATGGAAAACGATGACTTTCAATGGATCACCAAAGAGGCTCCAAGCGGTGCCCAGGTCGTTGAATGACGAGGCAATGTCAGGGTGGTCTGCATCGTGTCCATATACACGTTTCCTTGTCTCTAAAGCCTGTTCAATGTAGGCGACCGCTTTTGCGCGATGGCCTAGCTGACACCATGCCTCCCCAAGATTGTTGAGCGAGCAGGCAATGTCTGGGTGCGCTGCGTTTTGCCCATAGGTCCGCTCCCTCATCCGCAGAGCCTGTTCGTAATACTCAATCGCTTTGCCGGGAAAGCCAAGACACCTCCAGGCGGCTCCAAAACCGTTGAGCGTGATCGCAACACTGGGGTGTGCGGTGTCCTGTCCGTATATGACTTTATACATGTCTAATGCTTGCGAATACAGTTTCATTGCCTTCCCGTGGTCTTCCAGATCGCTCAAGACCTCACCAAGGTTTGTGAGTGACGCCGCGATATCTGGATGTAGGTTGCTCTCTCCGTACACTCGTCGCTTCATATTTAGAGCCTTTTCGAAGATGTTAAGGGCTTTCCTGTGTGCACCAATACTACTCCATGCTGAGCCGAGATGATCAATCAACGACGCAGTATCTGGGTGCGCGTGGTCGTGTCCGTATAAGAGACTGTTCATTTGTAACGATTGCTCAAACATGTCGATCGCCTTAGCGTGGTCCTTTAGGTTAAGGTAAGCTGTACCCAGGTTGTCTAGCGATGATACAATTTCGGGATGTACCGTCTCCCCTCCGTATGTACGCTTCCTTATGATAAGAGCTTGTCTGTAGAAGTCAGTCGCCTTTCTGTAGTCGCCGAGGTTATTCCAAGCAGCGCCGAGGCTGTTAAGGGCAGACGCTACGTCTGGGGGCGCTGTTTTCGACCCGTGAAGACGTCTTCTCATAGCCAGACACTTTTCGTACAAACCGACGGCCTTTCTGTTGTTGCCCATGTCAGCCCACGTTGATCCCATGTTGTGAAGAACTGAAGAAATGTCCGCGTGGTCCGCAGTGTCGCCATGTGTGAGCTTCAGTCTCTCCAGCGCCTGTTCGAAAAACGTTTCCGCATGTTTGTAATCTCCCAGACAGCTAGCTACAGTACCTAGACTCCTGAACGAGGCGGCAATAGAAGGATGGGTCGATGCATCCCCGTGTATTCGGTGATTCATGTCCAGTGCCTTTTGCAAGAAGCCCCTTGCAACAACGTACTCACCGATGCTGTAACAGACCCAGCCAAGGTTCCGAAAGCACGATGCGATATTTGGGTGGTCTGTGTCATTGCCATACATTGTCTTGTTCTTCTCTAGTGCGAGTTGGAACTGCGTCTTTGCGGATGTGAAATCGCAGAGCTTCATGTTCATCTCCCCCTTTGTTTCCGCCGACGTTTCGTACAAAGTGAATGCTAAAGAAAACGACGTGTTTTCCTTTTGCGCCTCTGACAAAGCTCTACGCAGAGGAACAGCGGAGAAGTAGTACCTGTACAGCATCTTTTGATTTGGAAGATAAAACACCTTCTCTAGATCAGGAACAGTTATATCATTGTGGCCTCTTTCGTCGCCCAAACGCAACAAGGCAGACATGTTTTCCTTCTGGCCTCCGTTCGCTATGTATGTTCGCAGTCTAAGTTCAGCTGAGATGGCTAAGAGCACTGTAAGATGGTGCGCGTTTTCGTGGCTGACATGCCGACCGGATTCCAGCTCTTCAATGGTCTCCCACACGCTGGACGTTCCAACCCCACAGCGCAAGGCCATGTTTTGCACAGCAATGGTAGGGAAGCGATAGATCTCCTTCTTCACGTTGAGTAGCGTGGACAACAACTCCGGGGTCCTGAACTCTTCTCTATTTGCCAGTTCAATGTTGGAGCGCACGGTGTTGCCTCTGAGCGTTGACATCACTTTGAGATGGTACAGTTGAACAAGACTTCTGTCTCCTGTGAGGTAACAGGCGCTTCGCAGGACGTCGGACAAGTGGTCTTCTTCAGACATGGCTACTTCAGCGTCCTGAAACTTCGCCAGCTGGCTGGGAGTTTGAATCAGTTCCAGCGCTGGTTTGTCTTTTGTCTGCTTTCTGCCGAGAGGAGTATGGCTTGCCCACGGCATCGCTCCGTCGAATGCCATTCCGCGTGTGGTTACAGAGTCGTAGAACCAACTGGCTTCCGGATCGTTTGAGTAAAAGTCGTTGAGTGACTTGATCCCCACAGCCGGAAGGATCGTCTCGCCAAGGTTGATGACTTTTATGTGCAAGTAGTGAGTGAGATTGCGGAAGTACGCCTTGTTTTCTTCAAAGTCGCGTCCTTCTTCAAGCAGAATCGCAAACTCCAGGTCTGAGTACAGAGTGACTAGCTCTGTGGCTTGTGAACCCAAACCTATGAAGGCATATTTGCATGGCGGTTCGCCCATCACAGAAATGCACTCAGAAACGAGTTTTTCGAGAAAGTCGATTCTCTCCTTCGCTGTCTTCTGGAAGAGGTCTTTAATGGCTGCAGCTCTGGCACATTCAACTTTCCTGGCTTCTGGATCTTCCTCGTTGTACCTATAAGGATCGTGCTGCCGATCGATGAAGTCAAGATGTTGTTTTACTTTATCCCGCATTTCTGTTAGCTCTTTCTTGTGCCTCAAGTGAGCTGATTTATACACACAGGCCACACAGGTCACGCCTACTGCATGTTGTAAGAACGATTCCTCTGCACGTTTTATAGCGAGGATTAGAGCTTTCTTGAGCTTGCTGTCTGCTGTTCTTGCCATGGATGCGTTGTAGAGCGCAGCGGCTTTGGTGAAGTCCTCCCCGTCCTTGGTCACCTTTCCTCGCTCCAGGTAGACATCCCCTAATTTGTGCAGACTCTCGGCTTCCTTATGTAAGTGCACAGGACCTGACCCTGTGTTCAGATCAAAACGTTGAGTTGAGTTTATTACGATCTATATTTATCTTACATGTACATGCCAGTAGCTATTCTTCCAGTGGTCTGTTCTGTCAAACAACACGAAAATATGCAAAACATAGATATTTGTATCTGTATCTGTATCTGTATAGCCGGTATAACCGCCCTTCGGCGTAACACACCAGCTTCGCAGGCATTGACAACAATAGCGAAAGTTGTTTCTTTTGGTAGGAATCATTACTAAAACTACGTGTCACCCCTGAGAAACAACCATTTGGCTAAGTGTGACTTTTGCAAGGTTTTGTTTGTAAGTACATCCAAAAATACATTCCATTTATTCATATACATTGTATGAATTGTTCACTCCCGAACAAAAGCTATTTAGTCACATAATACAAAACACAACTCACCGTGGACAAGCTTCAGCGCGGAGGAAAACTGCTGCTCTGCTAAGTCGACATCTCCTTTCCGTAATGCCCTGTCTCCAAGTCGATGATGTTCTTCGTATGTGCTGAAGAAGAAAAGCCACAATGTTCAGTTACTTTCATCTCTTAAGAAGTCAGGTTACTGGATAATCTGTGTAACACAATTTCTCCCTTTCAGGGACCGATTGAGCCCCTTACCTTTAGGATGAGATCTAGACCTCTAAGACAGCATATGGCTTTAAAAAATGACATCCACCAATAAGAGCTCAGGACCCTTTATCACTATATAAACGTCAGAGCTCTGGTGTTGAAGTTCTGGCTGATGTCATTTTGGAAAGCAATATTTTTATGAAAAGTCTGAATTACAGTGTGACATACATGGCAATTATACATGATGCATTTTTCTGTAACATACCTCAGCATGTAAGTACCATCAGGGTCTTCCTCCGTGTTTACATAGTCATGGATGCAGCTGCCTCTTCGCATCTTATAACAACAAAAACAACAATAACAACATTAATACATGATGATAATAACGATAACTGTTGAACAACAAATAAAAGCGAAAGTGAAAATGGACATATGTGGCTCTTGTCCGAATATGCAGGAAGACATCAGAGGACATTTTGGTTTCCCTCCCACCTTAAAACACATTCAAGTGTTAAAAATCACAAAACAAACATATATTCTATCAATACATACCCTTATGGCTGTGTTCTTGACCTTTTCTGCATACTTGACACGGTGAATTAAAACCTCTCTCCCGTCGCTTGTATCGCCACACCTTGCCCCGGCATTGTTGTACATCGCTATCGCTTTGGACAGCAAGGACACATCCGTGTAGGTCTTTCCTGTCTCTAGGTACAAATCTCCCAGACTCTTCAGCACCTCTACTTCCAGTAAGATGTCTCCTGTGGCGATAGCTTGTACCAACGCTTTTGTATAGCTCTCTTCTAATACGTACAATCCACTCAGACCGTCAAAACGAGCCTTACTTAAGGTGAGGCAAACCTCGGCTGTCCGAAAGACATGGTTGGTAGATGCATCTGTACTTAGGGTAGTTTGCCTCTGATTCCGACTGTCTGTACGTTGTAGTTTTCCGGCGAGTTTCTCCATAAATCCAGCACGATCTAGTATGGCTTGCTCAAGATCCGGGTCTGTGCATTTGAGTAGAGCCGCTGTGTAGAAGGCACTAGAAGTCTTAAATTCCTTCAAGTCTTTACCTAGTCGTCCTTTTTCCAGATGGTGGTCTCCAAGACACTTCAGAGCCTCCACCTCTATGTAGGAATCCTTCTCGGCGATAGCTTCTCGTAGGGATCTGCCATATCCTGTCTCCAGACCCTCTCTGGTGGCTTTTAGTCGCGTTTCCAACACCTGGAGTTTCTCTGCCAAGCTACTAGCCATTCTGTCCCGTATATTTAATGCTGGTGCCACACTACACAGGTAAATAACTCCGACGCCCTATGATTTAAGTCTGCGACCTCCGAATGACATTTTAGGCAGCAAATCAGCCGGAATATCCCTCTCGACTGACAGATTTGTACAAATAGTCTATTGCCGGATGTTTGTCGGTCTATAAGCTACGCCCAAAATCACAGACTAGATTTTCAGGCGAAAATACTCCCGACTCTTGGGACGATTTTGAAGCTCTCTGCAACCCTCTGGCGATCAGCGATGAATTCGGCGTCTGAGGGTCGTCAACAGCCTCGTGTCCAACGGCTTTACAATTTCTAGTACTCCCTGTGTAAGCTTAAGCTCGCCGACGTACATAGCAAGCCAAGAGATACATGTAATTGTAGCGTCACCTGCCAGCTAGGCGGGGATTTCCAGTGACGTAAACCCACGCTAACCCTCAGGCAAATTTGAATACTGGTTGTGTCTGTGTGTGTACGTGTACGTGTATACAACACATAGACTCGTCGTTACGCCGTGTGCACAAACATGCATCGGTGCAAAGTCCGTTCATTCATGGTCCGGCTGAATGTTTGTTAACAAAGCACGGGCTCAGCTTACTCTCCAAGCAGAGGTTTGGGCAAATTTGGCTTTTCATTTTTGGCGTGTTTTTAGGCTTTTTATCGGGGTTTCTCGTTTGCACTGTTGGGTTTGGTGAAAAAAATCAGTGCAAAAAAAGAAACCCCGATAAAAAAGCCTAAAAACACACCAAAATATGCGGTAAGCCATTTTTCATGGAGCTCCGAGGTAAAAAAATTATGAATTCAGTTTGCGTGACTACTGTATATACTCCCCTCTTAATAACATTATCAATTACAAAAAACAGAATTAAAGAAAAAAAGCCCGGAGTTGTTTAATTTCATCCGACCTATGAGGTCAACATACTGTTTATTGCAAACTAAAGATGTGCAAGGCATGAGCACACATGTCCCTATCCTCCCCTAATGGCAGTGTTTCCAACATAGCAAGGCCTCTAGCTGCACTTCAGTCATATACAGTACAGACAGCACAAAACAAGGGTACAACGGAGAAATACATGTACACAACAGAGATTGGGTATTACATGTACAACCTTCTGGCTTCCAATATAGCTAATGCAAGTATAGATGTATCATAAGCAAGGAAAATCCCAATAGGCATTACACAAGTGAATGTTGTCAATGAAGGTTAGACATCCAGATAATGAAATACACAAGGAAATGGTTACTCGAGCAACTGGATATGAATCTACACTCAAGCAAGTGGATAGATTTCAAAATCTATCTAATTGCGTGTAACAATTTCCTTGTGAATGATTAACTGCTTCCTTTCTGATTTTTTTTAGCCAAAACATGTACATGTATCTGGTCCACTGATATATCTTTAACAGTGAGAAGGTTGAAACTTAGTTGTAGTTAGCATAGCACAATGGTCGTGGAAGCAAATTATTTGAATAGTGTGGACCAGGCATTGATAATAAACATACATTAACTAGTGACAACGTTGATACTGTCTAGATTACATTTGGTTTGTTCCTCATTATACTATCTGGGCAACTACTAATTCTAAACAGAATAGAGGACAGAAAGGTCTGTGCGAGATTAACAGAAATGAATAGATTTAGCTTGAAAAAACAGAAAATGTTTTGCTAAATGTACAACAGGCAAAATATCAAACAAGACAATACAACACTGAAATGTGCTTGTCAGGGCCTATCCTACATACTGTGTGTCTCCATCCTACATGTACCTAACATTACAGAACAAAGAAATACTTGCTTTGCCTCCACATAACATACAGAGTGAATTGCACTAAGAATGTTCACCCCACCATATAGCCTGAAACACATTCATACAGTCCAAGTAGTAACATTGTCATATCTAATATGCACAGCATAGTCAAGCTTCTGACAATCAAAAATTTACCTAAAACGAACAAAATCATACCTAGTACATCTTTTCACAAATACCATGCAACAAGGAACCCCTTTTAATATATATATATGTATATATATACCCATATTACACATAACAAGATACTGTCTGGAAATTTGGAGTGGATAGACTACCACAGGCCTCTGTACAAAATGGACACAAATTATTCCCAGCAAATGTCACAGTATTGTTACAAGTTTACAAGTGGCAATACGTAGTTATCTCGCTATCTTACAGACATCTTTCCTGTAGCTCAAATTAATACCAACATTGGCATGAAAACAATGTGAAATGGACTAAACTTTCACACTGACCTAATTTTTTGGTTGCTGTTTTTTCCATTTCAAAACCAAAGAAAAGGATTCGTGTAGCCTAAATCAGATTTCACTTTGTATTGAAACCAAAGTTTACATGTAGTCCCTTCCCTATCAACAACATAACTGCAGCAAGAAAAATCTGACCCATGTACATCTATAGACTAACCACCTTGCTGTGCATAGTACCAACGCTATACAAACATGTACTGTTAAACAATATACTGTGTTCACCTCTCTTCACCACATTTTTAGACCCTTTTTACTTTTTACATACATATTCTGAAAAAGGTGCAACACTTCATTCTTACTACACACAACTTGCGTAAAATACAGTCTGGCCTCTTGCAAATAAAGACGACAGATATCATACACTATGCACTTATACTGTGTACTGTGTTACAAGATACACAAACCTTCATAATCTCATACATGTAAATGTTGTTACAACGAGAAAATTATTTTCATTGGTTTTAAATTTACATCTTCAATATTCTCCTCATATCATGCACAATTCTTCTTCACAGTAATTTTGTCAAAATCACTCTCTCAACTTACGGCAGGTAAGTTAGCTTTACATGACATTTGGGAAAGGCACGCAATCGATGTGCCTTTTTACTCTGATTCGGGAAAATATACAGTTTTCTCCAGTGATGCAACTTGCAAGCGTTCAAGTGTGTGAAAACAAAAGTATAACTTAGTTTCACAAGTGGCTGAGGGCTTATCCCCATTACAAAATGAAATTTACTTTCATCTGTTCAGTGAAAAATTGACTGAAACGTTAGCTCCATCCAAAAGTAAATATTTAACCCATTAACTGCTGAGTTCAGCGGCAACCTTTGCAATTCTAGGGACTCAGTTGAGCTCATAGTAACATGGGGGTTAAACAAAAACCAAGACTGGGAGTCTTCAACACATTTTGACAACTGTAACAGTCACTCAAAAACTTTCTTTCACACCAGACAGATCTTGATTTGCTTGCTCAAAACAATTATAACCACGGGAACAACATCATATCCCTTTCTCTTGTGCTCCACTTGAATCCAAAGTTCAGAGGTCGCAGGTCAGAGGTCGTGCCCCTTGCCCCTACATGTCAGAGTTCAGAGGTCATCTGGTGTTCCAGTCCTCCAGCAGTGCGGAGCTGGCCTGCTCCAGGTTCCAGTTGAAGGCCTCCAGGATCTTCTGGCACCGGTCTCTCGACTGGACGCCGATCCGAAACAGCTGCTCAACCTGAGGAAAAACATGGGCCAGTTAGTCAGATTCCTTCTTTCAAAAAACGTGTAGCAAGACAAGATAATTGATATCCACACCTTAGTCATAGACTAAGTCTTTCTTCTTTTGACAAACCAGCAGTGAGACAAAATCTGGCCGTGTCGGTAGCTCTCTTCTGGAATGACTTACCAGACGAGGCACAGCTTACTCCATTATTGAGCACCTTCCTAACAACTTATTGACAAGGGTACTTGGGTTTGTAACTGGTGTGTAAAAAGAAATCCTTAAGCTATATATAACCCTATGTTTACCAACCAGATGAAAATATTTTAGAAGCTTATTGACAAGGAGACCAATAAAGACAGATTGAGTATGCAGATGAGGTCATTTGAAGACTTCCAACTATTGTTTACGTGGACCATGCAAGTTAAATGACTGAAAAGCAGCTGGGATACTTTTTACCACACGATTTTGAGGCAGTGTATTGAAAGACATTTTGAGTATCTGAGCCCACCTTGAGGTAGTCAATAGCCTTCTTGACCTCCCAGTTGTTGTTCTTGAGAGCGTGCTCACACTCATCTGTCGTCACTCCATGCACACTCATTTGAACCTGGAAAGTAAAAAATAAAGATCAATACATTTTGAAGTACATAATTATACAATTCACAGGCTTCTCTGCCATACATGTACATTAGTTTCTAGAAAGAAACAAACAGTCTGTTACTTCTTGAGTGAACCATCCATATTACCCAAACAAAAAACCAATAGTTTGTCACTCACTAACTCACTATCCTGGTTTAGATTATTCTGCTGTCGGTTTATTTTGTATGTCAATCAAAATTTGATACCCCTAATAAAAAGTGCCACATTTTGAAAATTACTATGCTCTCCTGACATACATACATGTACAGCTAGTCCGTGGCATTGTACCCATTGGAATTAGAACTAAGATCTGACCTGGTAGACCTTTTCCTGAGGGCCGCTCGTGGCCATCGTCTCCTTGACCGAGGAGAAGGAGTCTGGCGTCCGCGACCGTCTTCGTTCCGTTTCTACACCAGTCGACTTCTGCACACTTTCGTCGTTCGGCTGGGACACTGACCTTCGCGCCGGGAGTGTAGCCGCCGGGCGCAACGAGTCGGCCTTCGGGGGCGGGGGCAGCAACGGGACCTCCAGGTTAGTCGAGCTAGTTCTATATGCAACGTTTTCCACCCCGAGATCGCCCGGGCGGTGCGTCTGTGCCTGTAGTTTCACCTCCTCGCGAGGGAGCGGCCGCACGTGCGCCATGTTCGGCGGAGGAGGTATTTTCGGCGGGTGGCTCTTTGGGGCGTTGACGGAGAAGTTCATGCTGTTGTTCGGGTCGAAGTCTTCGGGCTTCTTTGGGAGGAGGAAGTAGTGGGTGTTGCTGAGTTTCTGTCCATTTTTCGTGATGGGGTAGATGAAGGGTTTGTCCCAGCTGGAGCGGTGAGCCGCTGCGGACGTAGCAAGACTCGTGTCGTCCTGAGTTACAAAACTTCTCGGCCACGAGGCGTTGAGGGAGAGAGGCTGGATTGGCAGCCGAGGGGGGATGGGAGGAACGCCTTCATCAAACACGGGTGGCGTAACTGGGCTAGGTGCACTACTCGACAACGAGGACATGTCCCCTTCTACATCCGGGGAAAGATCGAACGGCACACAAGAGTCCGAGAGACGCGGGCTTCGTAACGTAGCGCCGATCGGCTGGCTTGGAATTCTGAGCGGGATTCGCGGCGGAATCTCCGGTTTGCTCTCCGCGCTCACGTCCACCAAAACGTCCGTAGCAGCTTCCGAGGAGTTTCTCGGCGAACCCTCGAACCCGGAGTCGTTGGACTTGCTCGAGTCGTTGGACTTCTGCGTCTGAGTGTCTCTCTTCGCGTTCGCTTTCATCTTCGTCGGGAGGGTGATGAACCGGTTGCTGTCCCGCGCTCTCGGCGGAAGCAGCGGCTTCTTGTCGGAACTTTCAAAGTCGTCGTCATGGTGATCGTGCTGCCCCATCTGCGTCGTCGCGAGGTACCGGCTGCGGGGGCTCTGCTCCGGCGACACGTCCGCGCTTTTCGATTTCCGTCTGACGTTCTGCGGCAGGGTCTGCGATCTTCTCATCGCGTCAATCATCTCATTGTTCAACCACAGAAACGCAGCCATCGCTCTCTCTTCCATCACCTTCCCTTCCTTCGCGCTCCCGCCTCTGCTTTGTAACAGCCTCTCCGATTGGCTGCTAACCACTCCAGCTTCCTTTGCAGCAGCCCGGCTAGCCAATGCCGCGAGGGCTTCCTCATCTGGTACATCGTCGTATGTAACAGGGATAGGGGGGAGAGGTTTCGTGTCCCAGTACATGTCACTTCCCTCTTTCCCTGCTGGTTGGGGGTTGAGGGGTCTGGGGAGGGTTTTGGTAGGACTCGTGGGAGGGGTGGGGTAGCTGTCTAGGAGCGTCCGGGGTGGGGAAGTGGTTCTTCTCGTCCCTGCGTTTTCGCCGTTTCCGTCTACATCCGATAAATCGATCAGCATCATCGGCTTGGACTTGTTCTTGGAGTCTTTGGACGGGATCTGGATGTAGAATTTGCTCTTCCCCATGGACTTCTCCTGTTGTTGTTGCTGCTTCTTGCTGCCGGCAGAAGAAGCGTTGGAAGGCTGTCTCTTCAGGCGAGCGTACTCCCCACTCTCGTTTTCCGGGGGCTCGTCGTAAACAGGTCCTGGGGGGAGAAAAAATGTGAACTTTAGAACTGTGCGAAAATGTTGAAGTTTTTGGTAACAAATAAGTAAACAGAGATTTCAAGCCTCCTGGAAGTATTTTGGGTTTTTCTGGACTTTGAGTTCACTCCATTTCCTGTGTCTGATCTTTTGTCCTGTCATTTTGTCTGTCAATCTCCCCAAGTGCTGTCAACCTACTCTGTCTGAAAACATACATACATAAACCCACAGCTCAGCCACCCAAAACAATACTTCCAGGAGCCTATCAAAAAACAAAGTACTTCAATGCATTACTAGTATTATCTCAATGGACCACATCTGTATCAGCACTATCACATTACGTATAAAAGAGGTACCGCACAAAGTTACATGTGTGAAGTGTTATGTGTGCATGAAAAAGATATGAAAGTTATACTGTACGTACTTCTGTTTGCCAAAGGCAGTCTCTTCATGGGGCTGTTGGGTTCTTCTATGCCCAGCAGGTCAGGAGGGTCCATGGGGTTTCGCAGGTACACTCTGTGGAAAAAAAAGTACATGGGGATTAAAATAAGTGTGAACAGGACATATACATGTATATGTCACAGGGGAGATTGGAATCCAGGGGAATCCGGAACTCCCCTAGGGGAGATTGGAATTCCGATCTCCCCTAGGGGAGATTGGAATCCCAATCTCCCCTAGGACAAGTGGGAATTATTACAATCTCCAATTTTAAAAGGAGAAATTCTGATTGCATCAAAATGCTTTGGAAAATAGACTGAATATTATTTCACACCTAAACTTTCAATCAAATTCAGCATAGGTAAGTGAATATGTAAATCAGACTCAGATATTTGCATCAGGCCATTGTGAGATAGTGAATCAAAAACCAGTTTTTCCAGTTAGTTAGTGACTTGGTATATAAGGGATTGTTCCCCATGCCAAGCCAGTCAAAGTGACAGCATACTGATCAAGTCATGGCGGAGGATGAACAGCAGCAGAAAGCAGAATTCTACAGATTGGTTGAAGAGCATATCAGCAGTGTTGGGCAGAAAAAGAATGAGTTCTAGTATTTCTACTACTAATCTGGGATCAGAATATCAGGATTCCAATCTCCCCTAGGAGGATTCCAGATTCCCCTAGGAGGATTCCAATCTCCCCTAGGGGAGTTCCGGATTCCCCTGGATTCCAATCTCCCCTGTGACATATACATGTATATTTAATATCATGCAAAGTCTAAAGACTTCAACTTCCTCTGTCACAAACCTTAATCACGGAAGGCTTGTGTTTGCGTATTTGTGGCATACTAAGTCTGTCAATGGCCAGTAAAGATGACAACAAGAACTCATTTCTGCATTTGGGGAATTTTTTTTAGTTTTTGTGACCATCAAGCTCACCCCATTTCATGCGTCTGACCCCTTTCTGCTTGTCAATATTCCTTTGAACCACAAATCAACCCACTCTGTCCATGCAGACAAACAGACACACAAACCCACAGCTCAGCCTCCCAAAGCAATACTTTTTTGTACTTAGAAGTCAATACTGTAGAAAAAGTCTAAATAGTCAGACTTACTCGTCTATGTGATCGGGATGTCCCCACTGCTCAGACTTGGTGTCCCCGGCGCCGTGTCCAGTGTGGATGAAGCTGTCCTTCAGAGGTTTGCTGATGTCGGCGATCACTCGACCGCTCTTCGGCACCACCAGGTTCCGCGGGAACTGCCCGATCTGCAGCGTGCCTCGGTTCTGCCCCCGCCACCAGTAGTTCTCAGCTCTGGAGGGTAGGAAAAGTTTTGAGTTAAAATTCAACATAAGGCACCTGATTGAAAGTTTGGAGTGCAAAGCTCTCTCGCCACAGCTCAATTTTTCAGCCAAGAACAATAGTATTGGTAACCCTACTCCTTTTGGTTAATGTGTTGGGTTCTTGTAGGTGTAGAAGTTTGACACCTGAAGCTAAACTATTCTTTAGAGCACCCCCTCTAAAGAATAGACTTGGCCAGAACCCACAAAAACATGGCATAAACAAGGATGATACCACTATACAGAAGGTGTGAACAGTTTAAGAACTCAGGGTTCTTTATTCAACAATCAATGGGTCAGTTACCTTCTTCAGGGCAACAATGACTAGTTCTGATCATACTGCAGCTACACTAAGATGTCAGATGCAAAAACCAACTGTTTGTTGAAACCTCTTAAACAGTCTCTTGCCAACCTGATGAAATTATTGACAGGAATAGGTGTGAAGATCTAGCCTGAGTGTCAGCCTTGTTAGCTTTCATTAGTGAAGATCGGACTGACCTGCCCTCGATGATGGTGATGATGTCACCGGTGTCCATGGGAAGTTTTCCGTCATCATCATCTTTAGACTTACTCACTGCACGGTACTCCGGCGGTCTGGCCTGGGGGAACAGAACATTTAGATTTTTAATACATGGAAAACTGGTGCAAAATGATTTTCTACTACCACAAAGATATTTCGTCGTTTATCCTAAATACAAAATGTAGAACAGTTTCACAATATACGTCGGTGAAGGTTAGACATGCAGGTAACAAGATATGCCAAAAAACAGTTATTCAAGCAACTGAATATGATTTTGGAAACGGTTAGACGTTTCAGGTAGCATCCACTACCTTTCGTCAGTGTCTTTTCTGACAACTCTCCAGTGTCACTGACAAAAGGTAGTGGATGCTACCTGAATCGTCTGACAGTTTCCAAAATCATATCCAATTGCTTGAATAACTGTTTTTTGGCAGGTCAACAGTATCTCACCTCTGTTAGGAAGTCCTTGAGAGCTTCAAACGTGGGTCTGTCGCAGGGCTTGTGCGCCCAACACTGCATCATGAGCTGGTAGATGTCCTGTGGACAGTCACTAGGCTTGGGTAACCGCTCACCCTCCTGGTCTATCTTCTGGAGGATCTGGGAACAAAACAAACATCGGATTAATTACCCAAAATTCCAACAAAAAAGCATACATTTTTTTTTCAGCCACTTCCTTGGTGAGGTCAGGAGCTTTTCTGGTGCACATTCCAAAAACAGGCACAATTCTTTCATTTCTTTTGGAAGAAATGCAGTTGGACCAGGTGTGTATTTTAAATGATCTGATTCAGTCAAATTTTTTCCAACATGCCAAAGTGCATTTTTAAGGACAGATACATACACTTGACTATCATAATCTGAATATCACATGAAAGTGCAAAAAGACAAGTCAGAGAAAGAAACACGAACAACAAAGAGAGAAAGACAGCAACCACCTCAAATTTGAATTCTCATGAGCCACATCAGCAATTCACAACACACAAAATTCTGTAGCCTTGATAAATACAGGATCACAATAAATGACAGATCTAAGAGTGAGACAAGCCAGGAGCCAACAGTGCAAATCCTGCGGAGACTGAAGCTGGTTACCATGGTAGCCGGATGTACACGACCTTCACCACAGGGGGGTTCAAGGTCAAAGTCTGGCTGTGAAGGAAGGACATGGATGTTGGACATGGAACTATGGGTTATGGAGAAAGAAAAGTGTGGTTTGAGACCAGAGAAGAACTATGATTAGAGACCAAAGTTGGAAAAAGGCAAATGGTCTATCAACTTATGTGTCTTATCATCACAAAAGAGTAAAGCAAATTTGAGGTTTTTGTTTTGTTCCATGTTATAGTGAGAAGAAAAAGCTTAATGGTTGACTACAATCAAGAGCCTCTGTGCCAAGCTTGGTACTCCATGCATGTTTATGAAATTGGAGAGAAAGTTGAAAACCAAAAAGTACACTATGTTCTATGTTGCTGTGTTATGTTATGGTCACATAGGTTTGGTTTGACAACAAGAAGAAAAAGGTGTAAAAGAGTAAGAAAGGCACAAACATACATGTAGTGGAGTAGAAGATGAAAGACATCAGAAAGATCAATCTTGCTAGTCACACACATTTGTCTAAAACTTACTAGTAGTTTTAAAGAAAAATACATGTATTATATATACTGGATGCTGCTAGGAATGACTGACCACACTAGACCACGGCTTGGGCCAGACTGATCCCAGGGACACTGGGTCCCTGTCCTTTATTGGTCTTATCCGGGAGTTACATAATCGACACCAGATGTGTCACCACTTCCTACCCCCTACACTGGCCCCCCTTCACAAAAGGTGTCGTCCTCGACACCATGCTGAGGGGCAGAAAAACCAGGCCTGGTTCACGGGAGCACGGCTGGGTAGAAAAGAGGTCGTGGCACGTAGCGACAGCGTCGACGGATCCTTAGTCGGTGTGGCCGGATACGGAGCGGCGGTCTGGTGTGTCGGGCGGCATGGCGGCTGTCAGGGGTCGAGTCGGTGTGGCCGGCTAGCGGGCTGGCGGATCGGGCAGCATGGTAGCGATGGCTGCGGTCGATCGATGGGTCAGGGATGCTACCTAGTCGGGCGGCATCGTCGGTATGGCGTGGGTTGAGCGCTCGAAAGCGCTGTACGCTGCCACCAGTATTATATATACTGGATGCTGCTAGGAATGACTGACCACACTAGACCACGGCTTGGGCCAGACTGATCCCAGGGACACTGGGTCCCTGTCCTTTATTGGTCTTATCCGGGAGTTACATAATCGACACCAGATGTGTCACCACTTCCTACCCCCTACACATGTAATGTGTAATAGTTGGAGCATTATGTGTAATGACAAAATGATGGGCTGTACCACCTTTCACTTCACAAAGGGGTGGTGATTTCAGCATCAGCAGTAGGAAAAGTGTAAGAACAGTTTTTACCTGTGTACCGTTGTACCCGAGCCAGGGTTCGTTCCCGTACGTGAACATCTCCCAAAGGGTGACCCCGAACATCCACGTGTCGCTGGCGTGAGAAAAATGGCGGCTCTTCAGACTCTCTGGTGCACACCTGTAAGGAAATAAAGACTCCCTTAAGTCTCCTGTACCACCTCTATATAAGGACCACCTGTCTAATATGACCACCTTGCTGGTCCCTTAAATGGTTTCCCCATTGAAAGAAGCATTAAGAATCCTGTCTACAGTGACCACCTGTACACACCACATAGACCAGATTTTTGAGTCCCCTAAGTGGCATTCTTTAGCAGATTTGACTGTACTTGTAATCACCCATTGACTGACTGTGCTAAAGCATCATACACTGCACTGCAGTTCCAACGTCAGCAGCCAGGAGGCAATGCAACACCACTCTCTTTTCAGGAGCCAAGCCTATCGGTAAGAGTTACAGAAATAATGTTGCCAAGAAACAGTTTAAGATTTATCCTTCTTTACATCACAAACATGCAGTAATAGGATGAGCTTGAAGTGTTCAACACCTCTCTGCAGTTTTACAATCAAGTGCTAGGGGGCAATGTTACTGTTGGTCTTCCCATGAAGGCTGTAGGTGAAGGTTACATGTAGGAAACAGTGGGTTCCTTGTGTTGCTAAAATTAGATTTGGCTGAAGTGGACTCACCATGCAAAAGGCACTTTCTTCTGTTCCGTCATGACATAGTAGTCCTCTGTTTGTGGCAGCGCTCGCATCAAACCAAAGTCTCCAATTTTTACCTGGGAAAGAACAATAGACAACTTCAGAAGTTTGTATGCTAAATGCTTCGCCTATAATTATGCTTAGCCAAAAGAATAACTGATATTTATAAGCTAAGATGTTGGTAACAGTATTGTAACATTTTATGATGTTCTTTGTATTCTTACAAACCAATTCTATGCATGCCGTCAGGACTAAAAATTTATTCACAGCAACAATTTACAAAAAAACAATACATGTACAAGGGGAAGTCTCTACTCTAGACATGGCCTGGGGTTCGTATTCTAAAATATATTCTGGGAGAATCTGTCAGCATTAGGTTTACAAGTTCTTCCAATCAGTTTAACAATAAACCCTGCAGTTCGTTTAGAGTCCACTAGGGGGCACTCTTTGTTACTCACCACTTCGTTAGAGGCCAGTAGAATGTTCCTAGCTGCCAGGTCCCTGTGTATGTACCTGTGAGACTCAAGGTAAGCCATGCCATTGGCTATCTGGATGGCGTACTCACACAGGGTGGCGATGGGGAATCTGTGGCCAGCCTTACGCAGCTTGTCTAGCAGAGCACCTTTGGGAGCGAGTTCTGTTACCTAGAAACAATGAAGCAAGCATTATTGACAAAGCGATATACAGTATTTAGGAAAATTTTAAATCATTGGAGTGAGCTTACAATTTTCAGACTTTGACTGACATTTTTGATGTAATAACTTTTTGATTATATTTTTTTTATTTCAACACCCCTAAATCCTGTATGGACTGACCCGATCCCCTAGTCTACACCATACAGTCAGGACTGTACCAACCATCATGAGAGGGGAGGACAGCACCACCCCGTACAGGCGGATCAGGTTGGGATGGTCCAGCTGGTGCATGGCGTTTACTTCCTTCACAAAGTCCATGAAGGCATCCGGCTGGACCAGAACCTCGTTCTTCAGACATTTCACTGCTACTGGGATCTGGGAAATAAAAAAGAGAGAAGTGTTCAACAACATGTGCAATGATGAAGGTTAGACATCCAGGTAAACAATACTCATAGGTAATGCAGACTCTACTACTGAATAAATTACTTCCAGATATTTGTAGTGACATCCATCACTCTTCTCCAAGTCCAATGTCACTATTGAATATCAGTCTTCAAAAAAGTATGTATGGAATACATGTAAACTGTCTTTTTTTTTTCCTCAGGCCCTTTTCTGCATGAAGGCACTTCTAATCTAAAGAGGAGGCAAAAAGGTCCTGGAGCAACATGTCTTTTCCACCCCCATGTATTTAGTATGTTTGTGTGCTTACTTGTGTCTGTAATTTTTTAACATAGTGAGGGGGGAAAATGGTGTAACTGCAGACTATCTTGGTCCAACATATAATATATCTTTACTTTGTAAGATGGCTTCCACAATTTTTGTGACAGTGGCTTTCTTTCTATAGAGAAAGACAAAGTCAATGTGCTACAGAACAATCCCTTTCCTGTGACTTTGTCAGAGGTCACCGACTTTCACCCCATACTTCCGACCCTGACTTTTAAGTGTATCAAGTATCCAGGACACATATCACGCAGTGGATGAACAATAAGAATAACGCCACTGAAGTTGATCCACCCCAAGCTGTGAGACTTCCTGTGTTTAACACAATCACAAACCTGCGACATTGTTCTTGTGGTGCCCCCCTCCCTTTTTGTGGGTTCACCCCTGTATTAGGACCAAAATTGGCCCGTGAACTTTGTTGAACTCTGGACAGAGCAGAATTTGGAAGGACGACAAAGTCTTTTGTGAGGCAAATGGGTGATAAGAATAGCGGCTGGAGTTAACATTTATCATGGAAAGTCAACAGAGGAGGGCAACATCAAGTTAGCTCGCTGGTTTTTGTTTAATGTGTTAACCTTGAACTTAATCTGATAAATCTAAAAGTAAATAGGCTAGGTAAATTTTCTTTTACAACAAATTATAAAAAAGTTAGATACAGAATTCATTTTAGGTCTCCAAAAAATGCGAGGAAAAGTATTACAAACCATTCGTGTCAAAATCAAACAGCGCTTAGAATGAGAGCAAACACTAAAAAGTTGCCATTTTGAACTTTAGATCTGTTATGACAGAAATAGATTATCAACTATATCGAAAAACTAATCATTACACTTTGTCTCAAACACTACACTTCAAGTTCAACCTAAGAAGAAGTCTTCACGTATAACATGTAGTCTAATGTAACTTACATGTTACAAGTGTTTTTATGTAACTCACTCAAAATTCACAGATGTTGAAAATTGATATGATGGGAGACCAGAAAAGGTTGATGACCTTTGATCAACAGCAGGCCCTGACGTGGTGTTTTGCAGCAAAGCGACCAACAAGTTAACCACTAAATAGCTCACATCCTGTTATTGGGTAGACTCAGGAATACTGCCACAAAAGCTTAGCCTTGAGCTTGGCATCTGTGGTTAGTGCTGACGTCAAATGTACCACCGTGTCAGACTTAATTTGTTTACGTTCTGACCAGGTTTGCAAAGGAACTGTCACCAAAGACGGTTTCTCCTTTCTCTGGGCCAAGTTCGTTAACATTCCAGTTTCCCTCACGTAAGTTGTTTGACCTTAACCTTAACAATGTCACAGGTCATTCCAATCAATCCTGACAGAGATATTTGCTAAATAAGGTGTTGGTCTTGACCGATTGTAACTACTTTTCAGGACTATTGAAAAATGTTCTCAGAAGCCAGATAAAGATTTTAATAAAGATTTAATAAACAAGAGCTTGAATTTTGGGTATAATATGATCATTACTGAAGTAAAATATTGCACTGTAGAACACTACATAATGTTAACTAAAATTTGATTAAAATTTAAAGGCAATATGGTATAGAGATTTTAGGCTTGACCTCCCGATCAATCAACTGTCAAAATCACCTCCCACCCTCCATGAAGCCATGGTTACTTCAACAGACACACAAACCAATACTTTGGTACACGGAAAAAAATATTGATAAGAAAACACTTTCCTGCTCTAGCCACTGCATGCTTGGACATCTGCATGTGAGAATACACGTACTATGTAAACCATATCCTCTGCACTCCTAAGAAAATGCCAGTCACTTGAGTAACCAAACGTACATGTACTGTCCCACGTAAAATACCATGTAAGTGCCACCTTACTGACAGAGTGGCTCTGAACTTAATGACCCATGTAGTGAGTTCACTTGTTCCGGGACCTTTGACAGTTCAAACCAGGAGGTTCTTTTGTTATTGACAATCTCCAGGGTTCAAGACAGTTAAAACTTCCTGGCGAGTGACAGGAAATAAGTAGAACTGTGTTACGCACGAGAGGATTCTCACGTTTAAAACATCCTGTTAAGGTTGCTGAACGACTTGTAACACAATCGTCAGCACTTAAAATCGGCAGAATGTTTTGGTAAATCGACTGTTAAAGTTTAAAGGGTTTTAAAAGTCCTGAGCATAAAAAGTTAGTGAGTTGTGTCGTTTGGTTGTCAGCACTGTGTGTGTGTTTGTTTGTAGTTCATGAATCATTTGGAAACACTAGATCATGTCCTTAGTTCTTGAGGATATCATATATTTATGTCAGGGTAGCTACTCCAAGCTGGTAGAATTGGCGATTTTACCGGTAAAGATTCTCATTTAAGTCTCAGTGATAGAAACTGCAATTGTAAGTAAGTATATAGTCAAAACAGCACAACAATCAATATGATACTGTCTGTAAATAGTTTCATCTGGTTGGTACATCAATAAATTGAACATATTTTTCTGTGGCACGCAATGCTCTGTATTTCTTCTCTGATGTAGGCACAGTAAAACCGTAGTTGCCTTTTACTTTTATCTTTTTATCTGGGTTAGAAATTAATATTTTAGTGTGTCGCTTCAAGGCAATATTTTACAACTTCCTGCATCCTGACAAGATAGCGATAAACGTCACTTTACGTGTTAGATTTTACTACAAGCTAGAAAAACACAATAGTGGCAGATAAGACTAGGGATGGGCACAGTTTAAACGCTCCCGATTTTCTCACCCATTTTATCCCTTCTGAAAGGCCCTTTTACTCTCTTCCTGTGACTCACAGTTAATAACAGTTTTGCACAAAGCACCTTAGCACTTCGACATGTCAAATCCCTCGACTCAAGTACTTAAAGTTCTTTGCGAGCATTGTAGACATTTTTGGAGGTATTTTAGGAGGAAATTCTGTCAAGGGAGTTGTTCGGAAGTACAGGGAATGTGAAAGGTCTAGGTAATACCCACTTAGGTTGATAAAGGAAGTGAGTAATGTTGACGTCAAGATATTCTAGGTAAAAACATTCATCAGTTTTACTTCCGTGGCCTTGCCTGCACTGCCCAATATTTAAGACACAAATGTCAGTGTTCGCTTAAAAAAAATTACTACATGTATCAAGACACAAGAAAATAGTTACTCAATGTTCTTAGTTGAAATTTTCCCCTTAAAAAATGTGGGACATATTGTGGGGTTGTGTGGCGTAATGGCGGAGCATTCGGCTCATATTCAGAACCAAGAGGTCCCGGGTTCGAATCCTGCCATGTCACCACCAACCTCGTGCCCTTGGAAAAGGCACTTTACACGACTTTCCTTACTTTGCTCAGGTGAAAATGAGTATGCCAGATGGCTCATTATCATGATCATGGGCATCAAAAGAAAAACCAAAACCATAAAAATATAGCCTTTCACAGTTTTACAAGCCTGAAAATCGTTTTAGGGGGGAGATGTGAAAATCCTACACAATGTAGATAATCTGCAACAGCCCATTCCTTACAGTTGAGTCCAACCCATTCCCATGATCTACGATGGTTCGTCCCTAACCTGTGTACGAATCTTGGCTCAGACTCATCAAATATTGAAGAGTTTCTGTCTGCTACTTTTCCCTGCCCTGTCTCCCGCACGTTTACATAATCTCCACTTCTCTGCAAATATCTCTGTGTGTTAGCAGGTGGACTACATGTCTCTCAGTTAGTTTAACAGACGAATACAACATCCATATCCAGATGATCCTTGTTTAAAAGTGAGATAGATATATGATTGTGTTATTTTCAGACTGACTGACAGAGATGTAATGGACAATATTGCAGTTAATCTCCACTTCTCTGCAAATATCACTGTGTGTTGGCAGGTGGACTACATGTCAGGCTATCTCGAGTTAGTTTAACTGACAACACTCAGGTTCAAGTCCTGTTCAAAAGTGAGATAGAACTAGTTAAGATATATGATTGTGTCTTTTCAGACTGACAGAGATGTAATGAATGATGTTGTAGTTTATCTCCAAGCAGATGTAATGTGATGAAGGGAGATTTTCAAATTTGCTGGCTGTCAGATATTGCATAGAGTCAAACTTGTGTAAGACTTGTCATGGGTAGAGATTGGGCCATTTGCGGACTCAAATATTGCCCAGGGCCCATCACCCTTCACTCAAACCTTTGACCCAGTGTTGACATGACACTTTAGCAAAACCACGTGACAAGCCTCACAGGGTCAGTCTACTGAGGAAGACCAGAGGAACTGTGTGTTACTAACTGTTAGATTAAAAGTTTTAATACCTTTAAACATAAGCAAAAAGCAAAAGAAGACTCTCCCTACCGTGCATCCTCCCGGTGTAGTCCAGTCCCCTTTCCTGACGACCCCGAATGACCCGTCCCCGAGTTTCTCGTACAGACACAGTTCCTTCTCACTGATGAGACAGGTGAGCTGGGAGGTGTTGAAGGACATGGGAGTGGTGGTGGAGGTGGGGGAGGGCCGCTTCGCTGTGAAGGAAGGTTTACTGGGGCACTCAGGCTCTTTTCTTAGCAGCACCTGTAGTCAAGAACATGAAAAAGGCATTGTAAGGAAACTTTAGGGCACAATGGATCATTTCATAGCAGCACCTGCAAGGAACAACAAGAAGAAAATGTTTTAAGAAAATGTTAGGGCACTCCCTCTCTTTTCTTAGCAGCACCTGCAAGGAACAACAAGAAAATACATGTAAGAAAACCTTAGGGTACACCTTAAGGACATTTAGGGCACTCTGGCTCTTTTCTTAGCAGTACCTGGTGCAAAGAAAATAAAACATTTGAAGACAAGGGCATATCTTTTCTTAGGAGGTGGGGGAGGGCCCTTTTCTTAGCAGCACCTGCAATCAAGAACAAGAAATACAGATAACCTTAGGGTACACCTTAAGTTATGGTACTCATTTCTTAGAAGCACCTGGAAGAAATGATAAGAAATACAAAATTTTAGAAGACTTTGAACATCTTACTATATAGTAGGACCTTCATCAACGATAGGTAATACACGTAAGAAAACCCTGTAGGCCATTTCAACACACAATTTGAAGCTTCATGATAGAATACTGGACCCCTTGGTCAACATAAACTGCACAATGCAAACCAAAACATCAACACAACAAGGTTCAAGGCCAGATTTCAGATACATAAACTGACAGTCAGACACTGTCCTTACATCCATCCTGGCCCTTAGGCTTCCCATAGACCAACAACAATCTCTCTCCACAACACCACAACAAAAACAAGCACAACAGCTATATGTGTGAGTGAGTTAGTACGTTGCTGGAAGGCAGCAGACACAACAGAAGAACCTAAGATTACAGGTACATAAACAGACACTGTCCTTACATCCATCCTGACCCTCAGGGCATCCAGGCTTCCCGTAGACCAACAAATATTTCTCTCAACAATATCAAAACAAAAACAGGCACAACAACCGTGTGTGTGAGTGAGTTAGTACGTTGCTGGAAGGTAGCAGACACAACAGGACCTATAGATTACAGGACAAACAGACACTGTCCTTACATCCATCCTGGGCCTTATTGTCCCTCAGGGCATCCAGGCTTCCACGGTAGACCAACAACTGTTTCTCTCCACAACACAAAAACACTAACAAGCTGTGTGTGAGTGAGTTAGTACGTTACTGGAAGGCAGCAGACACAACAGAAGGCCGGTGACACTTGCGAGTCCCCTCACGTCCCCTGCTGCATTATCATACACTGATCTTGACAGCTACGCCCACGCTGCTGCCTCACAGGGACTCCTGCCCAACTAACTGGCTTAAATCACTGACTCTGAGACAGAGAAAAACATGAACACCTTACAGGATTGACCTAGCGGACTGTCACATGACCTAAGGCATCCAGGGATGGCAGACTTCACCCCCTTCTTCTTTTTCCCCCTTTGCTGTATTTCTTTAAAACCTATGTCCAAAGTATGGGTTAAATCACTGACTTGGAGACAGAGAAAAACATGAATACCTTGCAGAAATGACCTAACGGACTGGCATGTCTGAGCTTTAGATAACTGAGGGCTATCAGAGATGGCAGGCTTCACCCCTTTATCCATGATGCTTTATAACAAATGTCTAGACTAAAGACTGGCTTAAATCAATGACTTGGAGACAGAGAAAAAGGTCTCATTCTTGAGTTTTTGTTAACTATGGCCGCCTATGGCAAAATACGTAACTTTACATAGGCCAAAACCCAATAATTTGAATGACAGCCATCTAGTCTATCCAATCAATTTTGAGCACAATGGCCCTACATTACGTCAAAAAATTCCCAACCAGATCTAACCCAACAATCTCTTTTTATTTATTTATAAACTGCACTTGGCCACTCTCCGCCAGAGGTCCTCCAGCGCTGCTACCTCCTGACCGCATTACCCATCACAACAGCGTGTAAACATCCGACCTGTCGCGCGGATGTCAACACTTACCCACTAATTTTAGCACATACAAACAACCTCTCATATCACAAGCGGTTTACGCCAACTGACTTAGCTAAAATGCAATTTCTGGCGGATATAAACACACATCCATACACGCATTTAATTTTTAGTACGATCTACTTGAGAGTACCCACGCGGAAGAATACCGAAATGAGACCTTAATAACCATTGATTATTAAGATTGTGTCTTAAATGAAAGAATAAACATCCCTTAACAATCTCTTAAAAAGATTTTGTCTCACGTCACTCCGTTACCAAGCAACGGGTCAATGAAGTTGCGTCTAAATTTTTGTATGAGCAGCGCCACCTGGCAGTTTGGAGAAAAAGTACAACATATATCTTTAATTACCCTTATGACGTGTCGGAAACGGTAATTAATTTTTTTTTCGTACCGTTGGGTAGATTAATGTGTTCTGTATGAGATTGTTTACATGTAAACCTTGGTAGACAGCAAGAGATAGATCTGAACGATGCTGATCATTTCGTGTATGCTGGCAAATGAGGCATAGCATCAGTAGCGACATTCAGGTGCATGTCGCATCAGGACAAGCCCATAAAAGCAAAGACATCGACATGACACAAACAACAGTAAAGCCAAACATATAAACTTGCTAAAATTTGAACCCGAGGTAAGAAGAAATAAGCGACATGCTGCTGATAGTGCATCTAGCGCACTCTAAAAGTCAGCCTAGGCGGGAATGGGGAGTGGTTTATAGAGGTGACACCAGATCCTGGCTTACAAAAATGCGAGGCAACTTCAGTCAAGAGTACCCTTTTCTACAAGTCGAGAAGAATGAAGGCAAAAGAGGCCAAATTGACCGTAAACTATCACTCAGAAAAGGAAGGGGAATTCCAGACAGCGTTCTTAGCACAGAGCAAAGCAGAAACTTTTCCAATGAAAGTTACAGTAATGCTTTGGCATAATATATCCATTCTCACCTAAGTAGAAATCCACGAAATCTTTTATGATTTTGCAGTCTGGAAGTCTGGGGGATACAAATTCACCTCAGCTGTAACGTGCCGGGTGTTTTTCCGTTAGTTGGGGGGGGGGGGCAGGGTAAGGATCCACCGCCCAAAGTGGCGGGGGGGGGGGGGGAGTGCGCCTCAGACTCAATGCGTGCATCCGTGCGTGTGTATAGGGGGGGGGGGGGGTAACAATGGCACAAATTTCGGCCAGATTAATCAAGCCACGTAATGGGTATTACTTTGGGGTGTAATCAGATAACCCTACTTGTCAGGCTTGCGATATTAGGTGGGTGGACAGTCAGGCTGCTGGCAAGGTTGTTTAAACAATTCGTAGCGCGTGGGATTGACTTGCATTTGACGCTTTTCCTGAAAGCAAAGTGCACATATATATAATATTAATTTTTGAATCTTTTCCTGTTCTGTGGTTCCTTAACTCTAGCCACAATTTCATATGAAGATCTAATATCCGTAATCGACGCTTCTAAGATTTACATGTGCTGTCCGTGAATTTGGGTTTACACGATTTCCATAAAATCTGCAAGCTTGCGCTTGTCAGTCCTTGCTTCATAGACGTCTTTCGCAACACTGGTAGTCAGGGAAATATCTTTAGTGTATGTATCATTGACTATGTCAGCTTTTCAAAACGTTATTTGACTGTAAATCTTTGTAAAACGGAGTAAGATGAAAGGACGGTGTGCATCAACCCCCGCAGAAATGGCCTCGTCCGTTGCCATGGCAACGGGCGTGGTTACGCAATGCAACGTTCGCTGAAAAATCGGACATTAAATCCTGGGCAAACATTGTTCAAAAATTGGGACCTTAGCACTAATCGTTGATTTTTGGTGAATATTTCTCATTTCTATTAAGGTCTCATTCTTGAGTTTTTGTTAACTATGGCCGCCTATGGCAAAATACGTAACTTTACATAGGCCAAAACCCAATAATTTGAATGACAGCCATCTAGTCTATCCAATCAATTTTGAGCACAATGGCCCTACATTACGTCAAAAAATTCCCAACCAGATCTAACCCAACAATCTCTTTTTATTTATTTATAAACTGCACTTGGCCACTCTCCGCCAGAGGTCCTCCAGCGCTGCTACCTCCTGACCGCATTACCCATCACAACAGCGTGTAAACATCCGACCTGTCGCGCGGATGTCAACACTTACCCACTAATTTTAGCACATACAAACAACCTCTCATATCACAAGCGGTTTACGCCAACTGACTTAGCTAAAATGCAATTTCTGGCGGATATAAACACACATCCATACACGCATTTAATTTTTAGTACGATCTACTTTAGAGTACCCACGCGGAAGAATACCGAAATGAGACCAAAACACGACCACCAGTCCTTAAAGAGTTGACCTAGCGGACAGTCACATTTGACCTCTTGCTGTAGCTACTAACTGATGGCAATCAGAGATGGCAGACTTCATCCCTTTACCCATACATGTTGTACCTCCAATTGATCAGTCTTGTTTTGTTTTTGGTGTGTCTGTTTGTATGTTTACTTATGCTTATGAGATCTTTGATTTGTTGTTCCTGTCTTGTCTCCTATCCATGTTGAACCCCAGTTTCAAGATGATAAATGACCTGGGCTATTCATTAGTCAGATTTCACACCCCCCTCCCATGGACATTGTCAGCTAAGATGGATGGCAGACAATTTCTCAAGGACACTCTACATGTCTTAAGACTAGGTTTCCATGGTGACAGAGTCTACTTTAAGGAACAGGTGTCAGAAGTAAAGACTTCTTGAAGAATGCATGTGCACTGCTTTGTGTCATTATATTCTGTTCAAACTATATTCATGTAGCTATATCACTAGAATGACAATTGTCAGTTGTTTAGAAATAGAGAAAAAGAATTGTCAAAACTAGAAACAAAACCAAATCTTCTATTTAAACTCAAAGAGCTTTGAAAACCCAGATATGTAGGGGAAAGTTTAAACTGCAGATACAAAAGTCAAGGACACAAAAGATATGAAAAAGCCTGGGGACCTTCTGTGTAATTACAGCATTATCACAACATGACCCTTTCGATAACATCATACAATAGGTCTTTGCAGTTGCATTTCAAAACACAGTCTCTTCTTACTGAAAAC